TATTCATCTTTTTAATGTATTTTCTTTTAACACAAACCAGTAAAAACCAAATGAATTGTCTTGACCACAATCCTCACTGTGGTGCACGTAGAGAATGGGGTGTTCCTGGCTTTGGGTTCTAAAGTGTGCTTTTCAAACTTCTTCTCCCTGTGCTCTGCCCTCTTCTGATGAGCACCTGGACCTCCCAAGGCAGTTCCTCTAGACCCCCAGGGTGTAGCCCTGAAAGGTGGTCTGTTTACTGGAGAATGTCAGCCCTTCCTTTAAGCTTCTGCTATGGTCCCAAGCTGCCAATACAGCACTTCTTTGGAGTTGGTATCCATTTTCTCTCAGGGRCCAAAATTTCTACTGAGTTYGATTGTGCTGACCATGATTCAAACTGAGGACATAAACTGAGATTTGATTCAAGATGAAAATCCAGTTGAGCATAAATGGTAACTGGTGCCATCAATGAAATTAACTTCAAGATACATCAGTAGAAAGCCTGTGATTGTGTGTGTGTGTGTGTGTGTGTGTGTGTGTGTGTGTGTATGACAAACAGACTTAGGTTAAGCTACTGCTAGTACTAAATGCACATAAAAATCAGCTGATATTCCACTTGAGAATACTTGCCATATTCCAAAGCCACCTGTTACCTATCTCCACCATCACCTAAACTTTGCTAATTAGCATGAAAAATATCAGCAATGGATCATTTATCAAATTGGTGGATTSTTAATGGCAGGATGAATATCAAAAATGGTTTCTAACTGGAGAAATCCATGRTAGTCAGAGTAGCTCTATCAACTAAATATTTCAGAGGGACCTCTGTCTACTGTAGAGTAAAGGGGTTAACAAATTCTCCCTTCCCAAATCAACTGTGTAAATGGATAAACTTTTCAAAATACAACCATTTTAGAACTCTGACAAATGAAAACAAATATTAAATTGGGAATCCTCTGTTCATGAAAGGCTTCTAGAATTTCAGGGAAAACGAGTGGGTGAGAAGGGCCTTCCTGCTGGGGCCTTCCATCTGGGGCTAGTAAATTACCAGGCCAGGRATGGCTATGAAAGACAGCAGCTTCAGTGCTGAAGATCACTGGCTTGATTTGGAGCAGACGGGAAAAGCATGTGCCCAATGATGCTGTCAGCAAAAGTCATAAACTAGGCAGAACATGAAAAAGAAAAGCTCACAGCTGAGCTAGCCTGAAGTTCTGATCATAGCAGGGGCAAGTGACATACAGCTGGACCAGCCAAATGTGTAACAACGCAGTCCCGGAAACATGACAGCCACACAAGTTGGGTTAGATCAGATCTCCATGCATCCTGTTTCATTCTGTTTTGTTTCCAAAAAAGAACAAAATATTTAAGAAAATGGTTAAACAAAATAAATTCAAGACCAAAGCTACGAAAATGATTGAGAGAAATTAAAGAAGATTGAAATGAATGAAGTGATATTTCTTATGCATAGCTAGGAAGACAGTATTGTTAGCAATTCTCTACAAATGGATCGATAGCGTCAATCCAGAGGCTATGAAAATCTCAGCTAGTTTTTTTTTTTTTTTTAAAGAGAGAGTGAGAGAGGAGAGAGAGAGAGAGAGAGAATTTTTTTTTTTAATATTTATTTCTTAGTTCTCGGCGGACACAACATCTTTGTTGGTATGTGGTGCTGAGGATCGAACCCGGGCCGCACGCATGMCAGGCGAGCGCGCTACCGCTGAGCCACATCTCCAGCCCCGCAGCTAGTATTTTTATAGAAGTTGGCAGGCTGCTACTAGTGGAAACTGCTAGAACAATCAAAATAATTTAGAAAAGCAAACAAAGTTGAATGATGTACACTACTTATTTCAAAAATCAAATTTAAAGGATATAGCCTATGACTTATTTTGGACCTGTCCACTAATAGAAGTATGTTAATAATGTTTACCAAGTAAGTCCATGTTTGATCCAAGCAACACTTTCATGATCATTAGTGGTCAGACTGTAGGGGAGTAGCCAATCTTAACGTGCCTCCAAATTCTAAACATTTTGTGTAGCATAACTAATGTGGTTTACGTTTAGTCAACAATAATCAAAGTGTTGTTTATTTTCTTTCCTAGCTGTTTCCTTCAAATATTATTTTAACATTGAATTTGAAATGATCTTATTTACAAAAACCATCCGATGCACAAATTTTCAGGGAAAGTTTGACCATACAAAATAAGGTCCATTTTAATGCAGTCAGTTATAATAACTAAAACTAGAGCAACAAAGTTAGAACCCAGAAAGGACACAGGAGATATTATGCTCATATTTCTAAAGAGAATAGGCCAGCCTTTCATTCATTCATAAGTGATGTGTATCAAACACAAATCCATCTGGGACATAAATTCTGTATGCCTTTGTTCTGTTCCTGTGAAGAGGAGGATGTCTTAGGTCAGAATGCCTGGAGGAGAACAGCTGTTCTCCCACTTAAACAAAGTCCTTTAAAGCCAGGCAGGTAGAGTTCCCTGAGAACGTCTCTATTTTATGTGAAAATATGACAATTCAGCAAATGCCAGCAAGCTGGTCAATGAATTTAAGTCTGAAGTCACACATGACAAAGTACCCTGACGATACATTCTTTAAACTAAAAGGAGACTCTATGCAGTAGAAATGGAGTGTTTAATTCTCTTTCTCTGGGTTCCCTCTTTCTATTAGGGAAAACATGTGCAGACTTTGCACAGGAGTGGCACACAAACTCGTGAAGCATTCCGTAGTTGTGGACTGATCACTATTCTCTAGAGAAATTGGAAATGGTCCCAATACTTGCAGTCTGGTGGTGCTGCTATAATGACATGGTTCCTGAAGAGCCCAAGTGTGTTGTGAGCACCTCTTGACCTCTATGTTTGCTATTGGTGATATCAGACAGTTGCTGTGGATGTCATCAAAGCAGAGACAAAACTGCTGGAGCAGGCAAGGTCCTTGGGTCTTCCCCAAAAGCTCAGAAGGCTGGACATGAATGAAGGCTAATCTGCCATCCCAGCATGAATCAGAGGTGAAAGAACCATCTCAGAACCATTTGGCTCAACTGGCCATTGAAGGTTAACATCCATAGGAAAAGGCTGGCTAATGATAAGAATGATGATACCTAATACCGTCAGCAGGTAAGGAGAATGTTGTTTTTGTTGTTTGGGGGTGGGGGGACAGAGGCATTTCTAAGTTATGAGTTTTTATACCGTGTACTTTTTAATGGACACAACTGAACCAAAAATCTGTAAAGGAATTATGGGACCCATTAAAACAAAATGACATGAAGAAAAAAGAGTCGTCTTCTGTTGACAATGATACTATTCTCAGCAGGTAAGCACACTTACACTGGGATTCGAGACGTCCAGAAACACAAGTCCCTCCTAAATCTGAACTGACGTAGTCGATTCCTAGGCATTCCACATGCTTGTTTAACTGCAAGTGTTGGGGGTGGACAGGCCACTTGTCACCAGTATGTGGCGCATGCTAGAAACCCAAGACACATTATGGACTATATGAGTTAATGAACTGGCTCCAAGTCTAGAAATAAGTTTTGTTGAATATAATCTGAGTTTGAAGGATGAATGAAACTCAAAACCAGTAAATATTAATTCAATTACAAGAAAAAAAAAGAAATTCACAAGGACAGTCATCAAGGCTGTCCTTGTTATCAGATTCTAGGGTTCTTTCCTGTTCACATATGGACCCCACCCACGAGAACAGACAGCTTCAGAACATATTTCTGCTGCTAGGGAACCTCAGATCACATGTTCTGATTTAGAATGTGAGCTAAGGCCTTGGTCCCCAAAACACATACCCGCTCTCTTGGCCCTAGTGGGGTTACCTGGATTCTTCCTTGTTCTCTGTCTCCAAATTCTGTCTGGGTGCCCCATGGAAGTCTCACAGTCTTCCTGAGCTGGCCTTCCCAGGAGATTATTCCTCTGTTTCCTCAGTGACTTCCCTAATCCCATGTCCATATTTTTGGGTATCTAAAGTTAAATGCCCACTGGTTAAATCCTTCCTCACTAGCCCCTGTTGCTTATCAGTATTGCAACATTCATTCCTGCAACAAACCTTTACAGAATTGGCACTGAATGCTGGGCACTGCACTCTGTATTAGAAACATAGCCAAAACATCTCTACTCTCAAGGACAAGCAAGTTAACAAACAGTTACAAAATATAACACGCTGGTCAGATGTACAGACAAATTGCTAGGGAAGCGGCAAGAGGAATGTGGAGTGGGCTGGAATAAATCAAAGCACCATGGGTGAAATGAAAAGAGCTTTTAAAGGGTAAGAACAGTGTTCAGGGCTCACAGTTGTGGGAATCACAGCCATTACCGAATGCCCAAAGTATGGGAGAAGAGGCTGTGGGAGGTCTGAACAGGTCAGATTAGAGGTCCCAGAAAGCCTTGCTCAGTAAAGAGTGAGAACCCATGATCAGGGATAAATGACAAGATCAGTTTCACAGTCCACTCACTATGGGGAACTTCAGATGCCATCAGTGTCTTAGGGTTTTGGTAAACCATTTGCACTTGCAGCTGGGTGGGCCCTTCCAGAAGAACCCACCTTACCCCAGCAGAGGAGTCCAGCTCCAGAGTCTGGCTGGATTGGTCAGTGTAACACCTCACCAAGCACCTCCAGCAGGAAAGCCAGGTGGAGAGCTGGGCTTCAAGGTCAGTATAGGTGGTGCGTGCATGTAAGCACACACTCTCACAGTGCATCGGGGATGGGCAAAGAATGGCTCTTATTTTGTTGAGTGAAGCTAGAAAGGAAAGATTAATAAAATTTCGGAGGGACACCAGAAAAACAAGTGCCTGATGGGTCCGCCACTGAAAGCAAGACCCAAGAAGGCCAGGAGCACTAGGTGAACAGACCACTAGACCTTGCTGTGAAGGACTTGAGATGATGCAAATGAATACTAATTAGCAAGCTGGTTCAGAAGAGAAGGAGCGTCTCTGGTAAAACCAGAGAAAAGACTCCATTGGCTTTTGTAGTTCACTTAAATGCATCAAGAAAAGAGTTGACAGGGCACAGAACGATGACTGAATATGGAAGGTATTTATGAACACTTCGGTCAACTACCTAATCTAGCAACATACCCAGACTCTCAGGGTCATATTTGATCAGGAAGAGGGTTTGTGGGTGGGGAAGTTTTACTGGGAATTGAACCTAGTGGCACTCTACCACTGAGCTACATCCTCAGCCCTTTTTCAGTTTTTATCTTGAGTCAGGGTCTCCCTAAATGCCTAGACTAGCCTTGAACTTGCAATCCTCCTGCCTGAGCCTCCCAAGTGGCTGGGATTACAGAAGTGTGCCACCATGCCCAGCAGGAGGATTTTTAAAGAAAGAAGGCCCTTGGCAAGTGACCAAGTTTGCGACTGTGCTCGTTCAAACACAAGCACAATTAAGCATCAACTGATCACTTGCCAAATGAAAAACACTGCACCAGCAGCTATGGAGATAAGAACAAGGAACTGACTTTCTGAGTGATTTCTCTGACCTGGGTTCTAAGTGCAACGATGGTGCCCACCCCTGAGGTGTGTTAGTATCCCCACTTCAAGGAGCAGAGGGAAGAGCATGAAGCAGACATGATGTGGGCTAGGCGAGTGGGCCAGGGTCTGAGGATTCCTTATCTGTTATGTGCAAAGGCACCCCAAGGACAAGTGAAGGGCCACCTCAGGTCTTCCTGCTTGTCCCTTGTCATGAATTGCAGTGTGGCTTCATTCACCAACACAGTAAATTCACTGTGTGGTTCTTAACCCTGGCTGCACAGTGGAATCACCTGGGGAGCATCTTTTAAATGCTAGGTCAAATAAATTATAACCCCTGACATTGACTTTATTATGAGCCAGCCCACAGAGGAAAATTTTGTGTCACTGAATGTGCTCTCCTGATGCACAAAGAGCCAGACAAGCTGGTGAGCTCTGAGGTCTCCAAAGAAAAGAAGGCCAAGGGTCAAGGGTCATAGCCATCAACCAACAGTGGTGTCTGGTCTAGAAGCTGATCCTGCAAGTTCAACATGACAACCTCTGTAGTGCTGAGCACCTCTCTGCCTCCCCATGAGCCCTGTGACTCGGCCTATTCATTTCTCTGTGAACACAAAACACGAGTGTAAGTAAGTAAAACATAGATGTTAACTTCTACCACTGGGATTTTAATCCCTCAGTTCCTTCTTTGAGCATGATTTCTGATGAAGAGAATTCCTTTTGATGTATGCACTTTTTATTTACTTGGACTTCAAAACAAATTCATCAAGAAGGTCAAGAAAGAGCCTTGTGTTTCTGGATTCATAGTAAAGACAGCTGAGAACTGGGCTCTGGAGGTTCCACCCCGAACACAACTGGAGGGGACAGGGCATCAGGCAAGTCCCAGCATGTGCTGGGGGCTGGGATGCCCAAGTGAATACATGAATGGCGGACACAGGAGAAGATTAGAACTGAATAGAAATGATAGCAATCCCACAAGGAAATAGTATTTTCCCCCAAGAAAATCTTTACTTCTTTTTTTTTTTTTTTGAAGTCTTTACTTCTTAAAATGCTCATTCCCAGGTGGGGGAGCACAACTGTACTCACAGTCATTGGGGTGCTGAGGTAGGATGATGGCTTCACCCCAGGAATTGAAGACTAGCCTGAGCAATACAGCAAGACACTGTCTTTTTTTTTTTTAAAGAGAGAGAGAGAGAGAGAGAGAGAGAGAGAGAGAGAGAGAGAGAGAGAGAATGAGAGAGAATTCTAATATTTATTCTTTAGTTTTTGGCGGACACAACATCTTTGTTTTTTGTATGTGGTGCTGAGGATCAAACCCAGGCTGCACACATGCCAGGCGAGTGTGCTACCGCTTGAGCCACATCCCCAGCCCAAGACCCTGTCTTAAAAAATAAATAAATAAACAACAAAAAATGCCCTCTACCTTAAAGAAAAGTGGCCGCTTTTCTTCCAAGGGCATGTCACGTGTGCATGAACATCACCAATTCTCCCCACTCCAAACTTCTAGAATGAACAGAAGTTTGCCCTGATACCAGGTTTGGAACTATAAACAGTTGAGAAAATATTATGCAAAACTAAGAAAATTCAGAGTTAGAGATCAGACTAAAAGAGCTGAAAGTGTAGAACAAGCATTTTTTTTTTTTCATGGTGCTGGGGATTGAACCCAGGACCTTATGCAGGTGAGGCAAGAACTCTACCAACTGAGCTGTATCCCCAGCTCCTAAACCAAGCATTTTGAGGAATGGGGAAAGTGTGCTAGCCTCAACCCCACCCCCCAGGATATAGCAACCAGGATGGAAAGTCAGCCAGGTGGCTAAGGTAGCTCTGGAAACGAATAATTAAAGCAATAGAGTCAGCTTGAAGACCAATTGGGAAGGTCTCAATGTCTTGTACACGGAAAGGGAATAGGTTTTTTGAAATATAGATTCTGAATCCTACTCTGACCAACAAAACTGCAATCTCCTCAGGTGATGGGAAATCTAGGAGGATAAAGGACCCTGAGAGAAGGGCCAGGGTGCAGGACTGGGTTGCAATCCAGCAAGTTGGTACAGGTTTTACGGGCCTGCTACCTCTGGAGATTAACGCAGCTCTAAGCAATTCCAAACACATAGTTTGCTATAAGATGTTTTGGGGTTTGATTTTGGAGCTTGTGTATGTTTGGTGTTGTTGTTGTTTTTCCTTTCTATTTTGTTTAAGAATGGACATCTTATAAGACCCCATGTGTGAGAACTTCAAGTGAGCTTCCTTCCCTTGGGAATGGACTTTATTGGTCCCCTTTATGTGAATTACTGGCCTCGTCTACAGGACTTCAAACACATATAAGTTCGAGGGTTTGGCCAACACTCTGAGAGCTCAGGCTGCAACAGGGCAGGCTCTGTCCCCCTCACCTTGGAGCAGTGCTACCTCCCTCTGGCATCCAAGTCCCTCATAGTGTCTCAGAAGCCAGCTTCTCCCAACAACCCTCACACAAGGTCCTCCTCAAACTTCAACTAGACTTGACTTCCCCCAGAGGCCTGCTACATCCTAATGGAGCAACTGGAATTTAGCAACTTTGGAACTCACTCCTCATGTGGCTGAGGCACCTCATCTATGGAATGTGTTCCCTGTGAGGTTTGGTCTTGTTATTCTCCCCCTTTGTAAGCACTATGAATCAGAGGAACGTTGAATAAACCAACACAAATTCAGAATGAGAGAGTTAACACAGGCCATCATGAACAAGGCTGTCCTTGGGCAGGACTTGGGCTATGCATGAGTGGTCAGCTTAATTTTTAGGCAAGGGAGTCATGCCACAAAAACCCCAGAGCTGTAAGTTAATAAACCCTGTACAGTTAGACAGGAAGGAGATCTCTGCAATGAAGCAGAAGTCTCAAGACAGAGAAAGGTGTGGACAAAGGCCAGGAGCTGAGACTGCATAGAGAGTGCTCATGGAGGGTCACGTAGAAAGTGAGGAGGAGCTGAACCCCATGAGGCAGAGGGGCCCCTGATGAAATGTGGTATGTTAGCAGTATTGGTCTAATTGCAGTGGGGGACTAGAATAAGTCAATGGCCACTATCTAGCACCAGGACCTGTTATGAGTCCCTGGCTGGTTGTCCTAATTTAGACAGCTGGTAGCCGTTTGCAGTGGGAACAGAAACAAAAGCTAAAACAGAAACAAAAGCCAAAGACTTGGGAAATTTTAAAAAAGAAATAAAAACTTACAGAGACAAGCTGGATAAGAGATCCAAAAGGATGAAGCCAATGTAACTAAAAATGGAAAACAAAACGTCATGAATGGATAGAAATCAGGAAGGAGAGCCATCCTGAGGAGGGAAGAATTCCTTGTCCTGGGCCTGAGATAACAAGGGAACCACTTTTTATGAGTCAAGTTCTGTCCTTATCAAAAGGCTAGAAGAGATTTCAGTGTATGCTGTATAACAATCAGCATTGTGGTGCTGGCTTGTAAATGTAACTAAAAATAATCCACTAAATTTAAGCATCTTCTTTAACGTCACTCTTACAGAGAATTTCCTGATATTCTCAAGGAATTAAGGAGCAAAGGAACAAAATGCAGGAAATACTTTCTGGAATGAGAAAACTGGCACTTTCCATAAATACCCATCTACCCTTTACATTCCCACAAGCCATGTAGGAAGTTGGTCTGGCACAAGAATTTAAGTCACACCGCCTGCTGGGTCAACAGATAGGACTTCAAAGATACCTTCTGGAATGAAGAGATTAAAACTTCAAATAGCTGATTCTTTTAAAAATGTGCACACACACACACACACACACATTTAAATCATGCTCATGACGTCACAGTGGTATTTCTCCACCACCATTTCTGAGTTCACACTTTGAGATAAATGCTT